CCAGCTGGGGCTCCTGGGAGACTCTGTCTCAAACAAAGGCCAAAAAAAAAAAAAAGTAATCACCAAATACCCATGCATGTCTCTTCAATCTCTTATTTTAAAAAAATGACAGAGGGCTAGAGAAATGGCTCAGCAGTTAAGAGTATTTGCTGTTCTTCTGGAGGACCTGGGTTTAGTTCCCAGCAGCCACATGGAAGCTAACAACCAGTTCCAAGGGATCTAATGTCTTCTTCTAGCATCTGCAGGCACTGCATGCACGTGGTATACTAACATACATGCAGGCAAAACATTTATACATATAAAGTACAAATAAATCAAATTTTAAAAATTTTTCTGTTATTGTTCTTTGAGACATGGTCTCCCTATAGCCCCAGCTAGCCTGGAACTTACTATGTAGACCAGGATGGCCTCAATCTCACAGAGATCTGCTTGCCTTTGCCTCTCAAGTGCTAGGAATAATGCTGTATACCACCACGCCTGGCTTTTAAAAAAATAAAAAACAGCCGGGCGTGGTGGCACAGGCCTTTAATCCCAGCATTCGGGAGGCGGAGGCAGGTGGATCTCTGTGAGTTCAAGGCCAGCCTGGTCTACATAGTGAGTTCCAGGATAGCTGGGGCTACAGGGAGACCCTGTCTCAAAAAAGACCAAAAAAAAATTTTTTTAATTAAAAAAAATAAATAAAATAAAAAACAGAAATGACAGAGAACCTAAGGGCAGGTTTTAATTTATTTTTTGAGACATTCTATGTAGCCCAGGCTAGCCTCTAATTTGTGATCCCCCTGCTTCAGTCTCCCATGCCTGGCAACAACAAGTTTAGAAGTACTAAACAGACAGACACACACACACAGGATAATGCGGGGCTGGGACACCTGGCTACTGCTTTGCTCCTTCCCTTTCCCCTCCCTAAGTGGAATCCAGCTGTATATTCCCTTTACAAGGACAGTTCCAGTCTTGGTCCTGGGGACCACTGTCCAGAAGGAAGGGGTGATGCTCCCCTAACAGAGTACCAACACCCTGAACGGGCTGAAATCTGGCAGATAAAATCCAGTATTATGAATCTGATGTGTAAACCAAGTTTGGTGGCACTGGTAAACAACTCTCAAATAGGCAGGCCAAATGTTATAAAAACATGGTCCAAGCTGGGCGTGGTGGGGCACGCCTGCAGTCCCAGCACTTGGGGAGGCAGAGGCAGGCGGCTGTCTTGTGAGTTCAAAGGCCAGCCTGGTCTACATAGTGAGCTGCAGGACAGCTGGGGCTATAGGGAGACCTTGTCTCAAAAAGACCCAAAAAAAAAAAACAAAACAAAACCATGGTCCAAACCATGACACCAAAGCAGACACAGCACAGCCTGGCCATGGAAGGTGGGAGGAGGTCCCCGTGTATTTGGGTATCTAGCAGACACTAGTTGGCTAGAGATTTAAGCCTCACCAATTCATGGTTCAACCCACAGCCTTCTACTGCTTCACACAATGGTGGGACTCCACATGAGTCCATCTGGTTGTATCATTCTAACAAATAAGACCATTGGAGTAAGCGGTAAGAGCTTTGATTACTACACAGTAATGAGTATGAGACACCTCAAATACTAGAAATTCACTTCAAAATTATTTGATACTTAATCCCATCTTTTTTCTGGCTCAACATAATATGAAATAGAAGCCTGTATCAACTTGAACACCTGACAATTGTTTCTATGAAATCACAAGAAGCAAAATCTTTAGGGAAAAGGACCTCTCTCCTGAAGTGTTTGCTGATATCTATTCAGGCAATCAGTAAATCTCTTATTAAAAATCAAGGTCATGGGCTGGGGCTGGAGAGATGGTTCAGCAGTTTAAGAACACTGGTTGTTCTTGTAGAAGACCCAGGTTCGAATCCCAGCACCCACATGGCAGCTAACAACTGTCCGTAAGTCCAGTCCCAGGGGATCCGACAACCTCCGTGGGCATTGCATGAACCGGGTGCACTAACCTACATGCAAGCAACACACGCATATGCATTTAAAAAAATTTTTTTTAAAGTCAGGGTCATGGGCATGACGTGTTACATGCCTTTAATCTTAGCACTCGGGAGGCAGAGGCGGTGAATCTCTGTGAGATCAAGGCTAGCCTGGTCTACATAGCAGTTCCAGGCGTTAGGGCTACAGGGAGACTCTGCCTAAAAACAAAAACAAAAGCGAAAAACAAAACACTAGGGTCACCAGTAAAGAACTTAAACTGAGATCGTGATTCTGTGCTTTCAGTACATATGGCCACACTACAGGATCTTAACCATGAAAGCTAACGCTGCCCCCACTCCAGCTGTCTTCCCAGCATGTCCTTCCATGACACCACTCCTTAAACCTCCACCATGTCCATTTTGATGCAGTCTCAACCCAAGAGCCTGGCTGTCGGAAGGCAGGAGTACAGAGCTACAGAGAAACGAGGGTACCAGGCCTTGATATTCTCTCCTGTCTGCTCCCAGGACTGCAGGTCCACGGACAGCAGCAGCTACATCAATAACCACAGTCCAAAATTCAGCTTGCTCTGATGCACAGCACAAAGCTCCCTTCTGGAATGCAACCAGGCCAGCCTGTGCCATACTTACATCCTTCCCCAACCCATGACCTCTGTTCCAAACAAGAGCGTCCTAACCCTAGGATGTATGCCAGATGTCCCAACTCAAAAGTCCTTAACTTTTTCCCCACTCCCTTAAGAGCTACTCCATCACAGCTAGGCACCCACCTAAATCCCAGTCTACCCCAAATGCCAACTCCCATTAGCCACCTGGGTCGCAGGCCCTGGGGACAGGGCCAGCATCCACTGTGCCACCTCCTCCTCATTGGACAGGAGTAGGCAAAGTATGACAGTGACGTGATGAATGCCCAGTAAGGCATCCAACCCAGGTAGAGCCTTCACCCTCTCTGTAAAGGGAGCAGGGCCAGTAAACAAGGAGAACAGGTGTACAGCTTGAGCCTTGAAGCTGCGTGTCTATACTTGGCATAACCTGAGGGCCATGTGGGCAATTCTTTCTAGTTTGTTTTTGTTTTTGTTTTTGGTTTTTTTTTGCCCCAGGCCATCTTGTCCACATCTGTACAAGCTTGGGACTTCCTCCCATGGAATCCACCTGCCATACCATACTTAGAATTCATGTATCAACCACTCAGGAGGTAGGGAGCTGGCATCCCACCATCAAAAAATAAGCCCTTGAGCCAGGCATAGTGGTGCACGCCTTTAATCCCAGCATTCAGGAGGCAGAGGCAGGGGGACCTCTGTGAGTTCAAGGCCAATCTGGTCTACATAGTGAGTTCCAGGCCAGCTGGGGCTACAGGAGACCCTGTCTCAAAAAAAGACAAAAAAAAAAGTAAGCCTGAACAGCAGAGATGACAGGCAGGAAGCAGTCCTTCTAAGAAGGCTTCTCCAAGTGACTGCTACACTTCCACTCTGCACTGCAGTCACAGGGAGACAGTCACAGGTGCCAGGACCACATCTGAGTCTAGTCCAGATTCCTCAGGAAAGAGGGCAGGAGCCTGGAAGCCAGGGAGGTCAGGGTGTACACACAGCCCTCACCCTACTCCCTGCACAGACCTTTCCAGGCTCCCACCAGCCCTGTCAGGTATACAGGAGTGGTGGAGGTGCTCCATGGACCTGCAGTGGCAGGGGTCAATAAAGAGGGCAGCAGGTGCAGACTAGGAGGTCCCAGGAAAAGGAATAGCAAATTCAGAAGGCCCTCCCCCTCACAAGCCTGCTTCACAGGCAGGGGCCACCTGCTCAGACAATTGGTGAGCTTTCCTGGTCAATGCTGTAAGATGCAAAGTGTGCAGCAATAAAGCTATTTTTAAAAAGTAAGACCCGGCGTTGGAGAGATGGCTCAGCGGTTAAGAGCATTGACTGCTCTTGCAGAAGACCCTGGTTCGATTCCCAGCATCCATATGGCAGCCAACAAGCATCGGTAACTCAGTTCTAGGGGATCCGACACCTTCTTCTGACCTCCGGGGGCACTGCACGACACGGATACACTTACAAACATGTAGGCAATACACTCATACACATAAAAATAAAAGTAAAAATAATAAAATGTTTTCTTTTAAAAAGTAAGACTCAAACACCACATTGGGTTTGGTTGGGGCCCCCACCTAAAAACAGTAACTCTGGATCCCTAAATACCACTTTTCTCAAGAGTGAGGTGTGGCTAGTAACAGACAGGGGACACAGAGGCAACAAGGTATGACCTCTTAGGGGGATGGTAGCCTAGCGAGCTTCGCACAAGTCATCAATGAATGGACCTTGCTGTGTCCAAAGCACTGAACGGTTTCTAAGTCCCCCAACTCTCACCCCTCCGTGCAGCTGCCTTCTCCCACTTAGGGGCCTCCTGGGTATTTGGCACTGGGGTTCCATCCAGTCTTATGTGCATACTTGGAATCAACTTCCAAAGGGCCCTGGGATCGGACCTCTACCCTGACATTTAACCCCCCACTCCCACCCCGCGCATCAAGATAGCTTCCAGGGAAACTGGGGGTCCTGGGTGACATAGAGGGGAGACCTCCAAAGAGGGCAATAGGGCAGATTGGTGACCAACGGAAACTGAGGGCTCTTCGGGAGCTCCGAGGAGGGGTGTGCCACAGTCAGAGGAGGCACCAGGTATCCACACCACAGTCCCCATCGCGGTCAAAGCGGGGGCTGAGATGCCCTGGGCCCAGTGAGTCACGGGTGGGATTCGTAGGCCCCACAGCCGTGATCCCGGCCTCATGATTCCGGGCTGTAGACCCCCGAACCGAGACTGGACACCAAGACTCCCGGCCGCCGAACCATCCGGCCCGGCCACCGCGGCCGCCGGCGCCGCCAACTTTCCCGCCGCCCCCACCTCGCCAACTTTCAGTTTCCGGCTCGACGGCTCCAAGGAATCCCCTCAGACGGCGGCGGCCCCGCGCCTGACCCCCGCCAGCCCGCCATTCCGACCCCGCACCTGACCCTGCTCGACCCCCGCGCGGGACCCGACCCCGACCCAGCTCCGCGTAGCCTCACCCAACGGTCTCCGCGCGCCCGGAACTCCGCGCCCTCCGGGACACCGCCCCCGCTGCTGTTGGCCGCACAACCCTCCTGACGGACAGACGTTGGAGCCTACCAGGAGTGTGCCTGGAGCCATAGCGGGCAGCGATTGGTCAAACTCGGAGCCTCGGGCCCGCCTCCTAACGGACAGACGCAGGAGCCTACCAGTAGTGCACTGGGAGCCGCAGCGGGCGGCGATTGGTTGGAGCCGCGGCGCTGTGCGGCGCTTGTGGGGGGGCGGGGTCTGTCTGGGGCTGCGGTGCCGGGTGGGGCCTCCGACGCGGCTCTCGGGAGAGTTTCGCGCTGCGTTCCCGGTGTTCGCTGAGGTGCGATCTCCCAGGCAGGGGCCGTGAGCCGTCTGTGTTGTGCACCATGACCGTTCAAGTGGTGACTTTCGGGAATGGATTGGGGTGAGGCAGGCTCTCGGGAACCCAGGCTGGCCTGAAATTCACTATTTAGCTCAGGCTGTCCTCGAACTCGTGACAGTCCTGCCTCACCTTCGCTGGACTTTAAATGGCAAATTTTAATTATTTTTATTTTATTTTTAAATATTTTATTTATTTTTATGTGTACGTGTGTATTGCCTGCATGTAGGTAAGTGCACCCGTGTCCTGCAATGCCCACGGAGGACAGAAGAGGCTGTGGGATTCCCTGGAACTGGAATTACGGACAGTTGTTAGCTGCCGTGTGGGTGCTGGGATTCGAACCCCGTCTTCTGCAAGAACAACCAGTGTTCTTAACCACTGAGCGGTCTTTCCAGCCCTTATTTTTATTTTTATGTGTATGAGTGTATTGCCTGCATGCAGGTAAGTGCACCCGTGTCGTGCATTGCTTGCAGCAGTCAGAGGGCCTAGGACTCCCTGGAACTGGAGTTACGACGGTTGTTAGCCACCGTGTGGGTGCTGGAATCGAACCCAGGTCCTCTGCAAGAGCAGCCAGTGCTCTTAACCCCTGAGCTATCTCTTCAGCCCCACCTTTTTAACCCACCCTTTTAAAAAAATTATTTTATTTTATATGTATGAGTGTATTGCCTGCATGTGTGTAAGCACACCCGTGTCAGTCAGTACCCCTGGACCTCAGAAGAAGGCATCAGATCCCCTGTGACTGGAGCTACAGATGGTGTGGGTGCTGGGAATGGAACTTGGGTCCATTAACCGTGAGCCAACTCTCCAGCCCCTTAAACTACTCTTTTCCATGACCTTTAGTCAAAAGAATGAGATTCGGGTAGCAGAAGCAGGCAGATCTCCATGAGTTCAGGACCAACCTGGTCAACACAGTGAGTTCCAGGCCAGCCAGGGCTGCATAGTGCAACTTTGTCTCAAAAAACAAAACACAATACAACAAAATAATGGGATGCAAGTCAAATCTCTGAGCCTGGGTGGAGAGGAGACTCTGAACTGCCAAGAAAGTTAGGATTACCCTAGCGCCAGGGGCTCTGTGCTAAAGAATGAAGATGGACCTCAAGAGTTAATCTAAATAGGCCTGTCAGTCACCTGGACAGGAAAATGCTCCTCAGGAAGCTCTGTGTCCTAGAGCCATCAGTCTACCCTGAACATAAAGGTTGGCACACTGGTCCCTGGCCATTGTCTACTCTCACCCTTCGAATATGCTTAAGAGATTTCTTTAAAATTATGTGTATATGCGTGTGTCTGTGTCTAGGTCTGCTGTACCTAAGAGCTGTGCTGGTGGAGGCCAGAAAAGGGTCAGAGACTCCCCTAGAGCTGGAGTTACAGGCTAGTATTAGCTGCCCACCATGGGTGCTAGATGTTGAGTGCTAGGAACCAAACTCTTAGTCCTTTGCAAAAGCAATACATGCTCTTAACCTCAGAGCTCCACCCCCCCCCACCACAAAAGCAGTACGGGCTCTTAAACTGAATTCTTAACCATCTCTCCAGTCCCCATCCCCTGAGGTATTTCCTGTCACTTTTTTAAAAAAAAAATTTATGTGTGTGTATTACCTGCATGTAGGTAAGTGCACCCATGTCGTGCAATGCCCACGGAGGACAGAAGAGACTGTCAGATCCCCTGGAACTGGAGTTACTGACAGTTGTTAGCTGCTATGTTGGTGCTGGGATTCGAACCAGGGTCTTTTGCAAGAACAGTCAGTGCTCTTAACCACTGTGCTAGCTCTTCAGCCCCCTCCTGTCACTCTTTAATAAATCTCACCTAGAGGCTGGAAGGATGGTTCAGTGGGTAGGAGTGTTTGCTGCGTTTAAAAAAAAGCTGGGGCTAGAGAGATGACTCAGTGGTTAAGAGCACTGGCTGCTCTTGCAGAGGACCAGGGTTCAAGTCTCACCACCCACATTGCTAACTATAACTCCAGTTCCAGGGGATCCGGCACCTTCTTCTGGTCTCCTCGTGCATTGCACAACATGGTACACTTACATACGTGCAGGCAAAATACTCATACACATAAATAAAAAATTAACTGTAATCCCAGCACTAAGGAGGTAGAAGGTAGACCTGTATGAGATCAAGGCCAGCCTGGTCTACATAGCAAGTTCCAGACCAGCTGGGTCTATAGGGGGACCCTGTCTCTAAATCACACACAAAAAATTTAAAGCTCTCGCCAGGCATGGTGGCGCACACCTTTAATCCCAGCACTTGGGAGGCAGAGGCAGGCAGATCTCTGTGAGTTCAAGGCCAGCCTGGTTTACATAGTGAGTTCCAGGACAGCTGGGGCCACAGGGAGACCCTGTCTCAAAAATACAAAAAAAAGTAAAGCTCTGTGTGTATATGTGTGTATGAGAGAGAGAGAGGGAGAAAGAGAGGGAGGGAAGGAGGGAAGGAGGGAGGGAGATCCCAGCTATCAGGGCAGAAACAGGAAAACCAACAGGGCTTGCTGGCTACCAACCTAGCTCCAAGTTCTTGGAGTGACCGTCTCCGAAGAACAAGATGGAGAGATAGAGCAGAGCATCCATTGTCCTCTGGCCTCCGCACGTGTAATCAAAGGCACATACCACACATAAGTGCTTGTGCAAATGCACCACATACACATAACACCACACGCATGCATGCATACACTAAAATTAATGAGTTGGACTTTACCTGTCATCTACATCAAGTGTTTCCAACCTGCAGCAGGTGTCCCAGTCATCTGTAGATGTCACATCACAATGTCAGAGTGGCTGCCCCTGCACTGCACTCTAGGTGTCATGTCTGAATTCCTTCTGTGACTTGCAGAGACACTTGTGCCCTTCTCTTTGGCTGTTAGACTACTGCAACAAGCTACCTCAAGAAATTGAAATATCTCCCAGGAATATTACACTGGGCAAAGAAAAAGGCCGAAGCCTGGGGCCAACCAAGGGGGAAACTTGTCTCCCTGAAACAACTTTGCAATTTTAGCACGCCTTGCAGGACAGCCTAGAGCTGAAATGATGTCTATGATGGGTAGGACCACACTTGACCAGAACTACGTAGCTATGTAGAACTCTGGCCTTCAACTTTAAACCTAAACCTCGTCAGCACTCTGAAGATGGATGTGGGGCGGGCCAGATCCCTGGATCTTTTTGCCCCTCTTCCCAATGTGGCCACATTGAATAAATCTTGTTTTTCACTATTTTCTCTTTAATTGGCTTATTAAGGAAAGTGGCTGAGCCTGACTTGTTAGGGCTGCTGGAGTACAGGCTCTGACCTGAATAAATCTAGGAGGAATCTTAAGGAAATCACAAGGACTGGAGAGCTGAGATGAATCCAAGTGAGATCCTGCCAGCAAGGGAAACTGCTCCAGGAAATATTGCTTAAAGCCAGGCTTCTGAGCAGACCACACTAACTGCACGATTGCTTGTTTAGGAGTTGGAATTCCCCTCCTGGAACTTGCATTCCTGCTATATGGCAGCAAGGCTGCCCTCTTCTGATAGAATTCTGACAGCCACTGGGTTAGCTTCATGGAAGCTGTTTGCCACAAGCAGCCATGACAATGTGGGTCCCAACCTGCAGGGTCTCCTTCAAACCCCCCAACTCAGCTCTCCCGATGTAAGGCGGTCTCTTCCCCCAGGCAGCATCTGGAGCCCTGAGAGTGTCCTGAGAAGCCAGAAGCCCAGCAGAGAGAAGGGGCTCATCCACAGCAGAGTACCCGCTTCCTGCCAGCAAAACAATGTCTCCCTCCATCCTCCAGGCAGCCGTCCTCCCCAACAGTGTCAGACCCTGGTCCAAGGTGGTGACGTGCGGGCTCAAAGCCATCAAAACTTCACCAATATCCACAAAAGAGTTCACTAGCAAGATTCTGCCACAGCCCTTAGCCGCAGTGTGGCCAGAGGCTGCAGAACCATGGCAGCTCAACTTCTACCTGCCTGCCAGTGCTGCTGTCACAAATACATCTTCATTTCAGACTTCTCTGCTTTCAGGAGACTTTACACGCACTTTTTTTTTAATGCCTTGTCTGCATAGTGTGTGTAGAGTTAGACCAGGAAGAGAGATGGGGAGGTCCCCTGAATGGAAAGAGGCCTTCCTGACCCACCCACCGCCCCAGAACTGGGTGACATCCTGGGGACTCACCTTTCTCATTGACTGGGAAATAGGTGAGTCACTGTGGTTGTTGGACAACTCAGGGGATTCCCATGTGGGTTCCTTCCTACCAAAAAGAAAGCAAAAGTCACCCAGCAAGAGAGCCAGTGAGGAACAGGCAGCAGTTGGGGGTGTCCCCTGGGCAGACCCAAGAAGACCCACAGCATCCATCTATTCCGAGTACTGGAGTCTCAGGACAGCAAAGAGCCCCTGCTAGCAGGCCTGGAGAAGGGAGTAAGTGACTGCATTTCCCATCAGTCCCAGGTGTCAGGGTCCTGAAGAAGTGGCTGTTGGCCTGGGTCAGTGTTGTGACCTGAGGAAACTGGGCCTGACTAAATCAGAGAAGATGTAGTGGACACCAGCTGCCCTGATTCACACGGGGAGAGGAGGGCAATAACTGTCCAGTAACTGGTTTGGCAAGGGACAGAGGAGCTGGCTTCCATCACCCCCATCCCTGCCCCCGCCCTGGAAGCCCCGCTCTGCCCAAAGGCTCCTCAAGGCAAGGGCAGCCAATCCCTGCCATATTTCTGTGATGTCCTTTTCTCTGAGTGCGGCTTGT